CTTTGGGAAACGTATTATTCTACATATTTCAAAAGTAAAATGAAATATTCAGTAATGGAAAAATAAACCAAACCTGGAAATAGAAAAAAATCAACTCAAGTGTATTTCAAATAACTAACACAAACCCATGGAAACGTAATAGGGTAGTGCAAGAGGAGTAATTCAAGTTATTTTTGTACCTAGTATTTTGACTTTCAACCCTCAATCTACAGAAAGAAAAACTACAACTAAGGCTTGAACCCTTTTTAGTAGGTTTGCTTAGGTAAATATTTGAATGTAGCAATTCTAAAACTACTTTATGTGTAATGCAGGATTAGCAAATAAATGTGCTATGAGGAAACAAGGTTCTCACTGTTGAAGAAGGCAGACACAAATATGAAATGGGGATGGCAACAAAGAGCACTGTAAAGCTACTATACATAGAATGGATAACAACAAGGTCCTACTCTATAGCACAGGAAACTATATTCAATAACCTGTGATAAATCATAATGGAAAAGAATATAAAAATGCATTATACATAAAACTGAATCTCTTTGCCATATAGCAGAAATTAACACAACACTGTAAATCAGTTATACCTTAATAAAAATTTTTTAAGAGAACATTGTGGAATTATATTGGAATTTTAAGTATCAATATTTATGTTTCCTTAAATAAAAAAAAAGAAAATCTGTTGTCCTCTACCTTCTGCCTACTAAGATGACCTGAAAGCAGTAATACTCTAGTATCAATAAGCACTCTTAGGGCCAAGGTCTTAGCTTCTAAATACCATTCTCCAAGAGTGGGGGCAGGGAAGAAACCAAGACTTGGAGAAATTTTTGATTCCAGATCATGAGTAATGAATGAAGCCTGAAAAATCCTATGCCACAAGGTAAGGAAGTACTCAAAGTGCAGGTCAGAAGGAGCCAACCCAAAGCTGGGCAAACCTCAGATAATTTGAGCATCAAAATAAATAAAGATGGGGACTTCCCTGGTGATCCAGTGGTTAAGAATTTGCTTTTCAAGGCAGGGGATGATGGTTTAATCCCTGGTCAGGGAACTAAGATCCACATGCCAGAACTGAGTCATAGCACCACAGTGAAGATCCAGTGTGACTAAATAAATAAATAAATAAATAAAATAAGGAGAGAAGAGACAAATCTCCTGTGCAGTAAATACTCTAATGAAGGGAGAGCACTCCAGAAATGTGCGCTGTGCACGATGACTTCCTTCCAAGGTGTCTGGCAGGGCAGGTGGGGGAAAAAGAGTAACTTTACAGTGAAGAAACCTGACCAACACTACTCTGGTGATCAACATATACAATCATAAACTATGTTGGTAGTATGTACACCTATTATAATGTTATGAAAATGACACTTTACCTCTGTGGTCTCCCTCTCAAAAACCCAGAATCCTGGTCTAATCATGAGAAAAGCATCATATAAATTCCAATAGAAGAGCATCCTACAAGATTCCTGATTAGTTTTCCTTAAAATTGCCCAAGTCATGAAAACCAAGTGGAGTCTGAGAAACTGTCACAGCCAGGAGGAGGCTAAGGAGAAATGACAACTCCATGTAATATTGCCTCCTGGATGGAGCCCTAGCACAGAAGGGACATTAGTGAAAAACTAAGGAAATCTGAAAAACGATGGTCTGTCCTTAACATTAGTGTATCAATATTGGTTCCTTAATTGTAATAATGTACTATAATACTGTAATACTATATATATATATATATATATATATAAAATACTATAATACTGTAAGAGATTAGTAACAGGGGAAACTGTATGTGAAGTTAATGGGATGGAAACTCTATCTACTCAGTTTATCTCTGAACCTAAAACTGTCCTAAAAATAGACTATTATAAACTAACAAACAAATAAGAACAGCAATGCACTCTAACTTCTTGAACAAAAAGGAACATGTAAATTCATACTGATAGAAAGTAAGGGGGCTTTACCTTTTAGTAGCATCAAAACTTTCTTTTTAGTAGATCAAACCAGTCAATTTTAAGGAAAATCAACCCTGACTACTTGTTGGAAGGACTGATGCTGAAGCTGAAACTCCAGTATTTTGGTCATCTGATGTGAACAGCTGATTCATTGGAAAAGTCCCTGAAGTTGGGAAAGATCACAGGCAGAAGGAGAAGAGGGCCTTCAGAGGATGAGATGGCTGGATGTCAACACCCTTGCAATGCACATGAACTTGGACAAACTTCAGGAAATGGTGAAGGACAGGGAGGCCTGGCATGCTTGGATTGCTAAGAGTTGGACATGACTGGGAGACTGAACAGCAATAAGCATCAAAACTAATAAATGTGGTGGGCTTGAAGGAGGTAGCGGGGAAATAAACACAACTAACATTGTAAAGAGCAGTTGCAGTAAGAATCATAAATGAAGGCAAAATCTTAAGGGAGAGTTTGATTAGGAGTGAGACATTTTCTTGATCTCAAAGTATTTTTTCACAGGTTGCTTAAGGGATGAAAGCAGGGGAAAACCAAGTGAAGAAACTACAACACATTGATTCGGTGATAAAAATTAATACCACCTTATAATGGATAGACAGACATTTTGTGCCTCCGGATGTACCAATCGGAGGAAGAACACAACTTCATGCATGTGGTTGTTTCCACCAAGGATACTTAATTTGAATCTAATCATGAGGAAACATCATAAAGGTCGACGAGAGAATTTGTGTTTGAGGACGAGTCTGTCACTGTAAAGGGATGGATTGCTCTTGGTAAGCCCTCTTGGTCATAAGGTTGTTAAATAATCCAATGCAAACATTAGAGACTGTGATTTTAACTACTATATTTATAAATTAAAATGCTATCGCAACGGGTTTACTTACATACGTATTTAAATACGTGTGAAGAGATTAGCAGTTTCCCTGCAAGTGAACGAGTGGGTCTAGAGAGAGTGGGGAGACGGTGGGAAGAGAGAAGGGACCTTGAGCAGAGGACTGCCAGTTGTTCGGTTTGTGGTTATTTCTAATTTAACAAACACTTATATAGCACTTATTTTTACCAAGCGCTGCTGTTCTAATTGCTTTCCACAAGTTGACTGTTTTAACGAGAAGGCTCAGAAAATGGTCTTTAGTTCCCAAAACAAAATACAACTATGACATTTTAAGTTATTTTATCACAAGTACTTTTATCTGTTATCAAGGCTCTGCTGCAGTGATTTTCGGACAGAAAAACATGAACCTAATCAGTTTTCGTAGAAACATTAGTAAGCCTAGTTGGCGAGGTGAAATGTTAAGACCCCTTTGAAAAGTTTTTGTGTATCCCTAAAAACCTTAAAGCATGTACTCAGAACAGCTTATGTATCTGTTTGGGGTGTCAGGCACTCACAGTATCTTTTCATTTAGGGGTTAACCCCAGACCAGGTCAATGCCTGTTTTGGCTGAAGTTGGTACTTCTAAACAACGTCCCGCCTCCAACCTAAGAACTACTTCCGGCCTTCGCTTGGTGTCCTCAGCGCGTATGTGAAGCAATGCATTCTGGGAGACATTGAGATTTCCAGTCTGGGTGTGAATTCCGGACTTCGTTTCCCACAATGCCTTGGCGTGAATTCTTAACTTCTGCCGGGGTAACTGTGAGGTGGTCGCCATCTTGCGTACGGAGTGGAGGCTTGTTTCTCGGCTCCTGAGGGCCGGGCTTTCAGTCCCACCCGGTCTCTGTTTGGGGAAGGTCTCCGCGCTTCTTTCACCTACTTTTTTGAGGTCGATGCAGAGCTGTGGTATAAGGTGAGTAAACAGACCATTTTAAGCGAGGTGAGGTTGTGGTGGGGACGTTTTTCAGTTTCTTTCTTCTTCCTTCAGTGGCTTGGCTTCTCGCCGGCGCTTGACTGAACCCTTTAGGTTAGCCGTAAACAGAAGCCGGGAGTGAACCTTTGGGTCTCGGAGCTCCTTGAAATTCCTAGACAGAACCTGAACGTGTCTCCCTTGGGACAGAGAAATTGGGTGAAGCGCTTTTGCCCGGGCTGCTCTGTTTGGAGGTCAAGAGGCCTTAGGGTTCAGGTTGTGTATAGGCCTCTCCTTTCTCTTCCCAGGGACTTTTCTGCTGTTTACAATGAGGAAATGAGAAGCTGAGAAGCGGCCTAGGAGGGGCCTGTTTCTGGGAGGTTGACGTTTTCTTAAGGTGTATTTTCTTTCAGTCACCCTGGGGCCTTCCTGTCTCATTCGTGTTTTTGCTCTTTCCTCGTATTAGAGAGAGGAAGACCAGAGAGCGGGCGGAATGAAGTATTGACCAAAACAGGCTTTTGAATTGTACTGTTGAGGGTCCCCAAAAATTTTCAAGAGAAGCGGAGTTTATTTATCTACGAGATGGACGAACCATCTGGAAAAGATGAGGGCTTTGATTTGGGGAGTTGCCAGATTTCTAAACATCACATATTTCTGTCATTCTCAGTACAACTTAAGTTACTGTTCTTTTCTTTAAAATTAATGTAATACAAACATTTGGAGACACTTTTACTCTCCTCGCAGGAAAAGGGCCTATAAAGACTGACATTTCAGTTAATCTGACGTTTGATTGCTAACACTTGTGGTTGTCTGAGGTTTGCGAAGGACCTAGTGGTTTTAAACAGGAAGACATTTATGATACAGTTTATCACAACCAGTTTGGATATGTGTCATTTTGGCTGGCACACTTACTCTCCCTTTAAGTACATGATTGTATATCTGTGTCATCGAAATGTGTATTACTGATTGAGCTTTCCAAGCTTGCTTAAATTTTTGCTTAGGTTCTCTGAATTCAGAAATACATTAGTTAAAGAGGAGATATAGCTTTCTTTAAAAAAGGATGTTTATTTACCTTCAGTGAAACTCCTGCTTTAAATCACAATGTCATAACAGTAGTACATGGTTATAAAATTACAACTTTGAAATTTTCATGTTTTGTGAAAATGCTTTTTAAATGCTTATATCAAATTGTTTTTTTCTATTGTCTCTGAGGAAACTTTTGTTTAGATTTTTAAAGTATTAGTTATTAGTTGTGTGATTTGCTCCTCAGATGCCGTATGGTGAAATTGAAGCTAAATCCATAGGACATGAGGAAGAACTAATAAGTGAACCATGCTCCAAGAAATTGAAGTCTAATGAAGAGGCATATGTTTTCCCCCATCATGGTAGTTGTAATTTTCACAGAAAGCAAGAGATAGCTGGAAGTGATTGGACCCCTGTAATCATCACTAATGTTAGAGGACATAGTTATCCTCAGGAGGACAAAACCCAAACTACAGATTTGCTGAAACCGGGGCATGATGGGATGCCTAGTGACAGACCAGATGTTATTGAGTCTGTTGATTCACAAGTTGTACAGGATATGCATCCTCCATTGGGATCCACAGATGATGAGATATATAGCACAAGTAAAGCATTTATAGGACCCATTTACAAACCCCCTGAGAAAAAAAAATGTAATGACAGGAGGAATCAAGCAGACACTATCGATGGTAGAGATGGCAAAAGAGAACAAAAGAAACAGAAATTTAACTCCAAAAAATCAGAGATTGACAATGAATTGTTCCAGTTTTACAAAGAAATTGAAGAGCTTGAAAATGAAAAAGATGATTCAGAAAGCAGCTGTAAGGAACCCGAACCCTCTGAGAAACAACTCGTTCCATATTATCAGAGCCTTGATAATGATCGGTTAAAATCTGAAGAAGAAAAGAAAAAATATCTTAGTAATGGCCTTCAACCACATTGTGGTTATCAACAGTGCATGGTGAATGAGCCAGGTAAATATCCTTGTAATGGACAAGTAATACCTACATTTTGTGACAATTCATTTACTTCCTTCAGGCCTGAGTGGCAAGCAATGCATTCTTTTGTAGTACCACAAGACCCTCATCTTCCCAGTTTTAACTATCACTTAAATATTCAAAGATTCAGTGTTCCACCAGATCCACCATCAAATATTTTCCATGCCCAGGATGACTTTGAGATGCAGAATGGATATTTTATAAATAGTTGTCATGCTAACTGGGATTGTTTGACTTTTAATGAGAACAATGAATATACTGACTGCAGTGATACTACCAGTGGTGATCATCCCTCTAGAAATGACTATAGTGTGCAAGATGGGTATGCAAGTAATGGTTTCTGTGAAACCAGTGAAGGATACTGGAAAGATCCTTCTGTGGACGAGTGTAATGGAACAGACAGGTTTATAAACCAGCAGTTTCAAGAGGAAAAGTTACATAAATTGCAGAAGTTACTTATTCTTTTAAGAGGTTTGCCTGGTTCTGGGAAAACAACATTGTCTCGGTAAGTAAAGATTACCAAGTGAATACTTGGTAATTTATTGCTTAAAGATCATGATAGTTGTAATCAATGGCAAATGCTGTTATGTGTCTTGTAAAAAATCTTTTAATTTGTTATACTTGAGAATGGCATATGATAGTAAATATTTAAAAAGATGTTTTCTGATAGAGGAATTATATTAAGATCCTGTTAAGGACTTTTAAAATAGATTCACCATGTGAAATAATGGCTGTGATGAAAGCAGATGCTATTTGAGAACTGTGCTGCCCTTCAGGTCAGCTATTCAAGAAGAGTTGGATTCATGGGTAGAGAACTTGAGCTTTGACTCAGTTATTTCAGTTTGTGACCTTGGACAGGTTTCACTGTTAATAATACTTATTTTTCTGGAATTATTATGAGAAGCCAATGAGATAACCCAAGGAAAGGAATTTTGAGCTTGTTTTAAGAACTGTGCCGTGTTCGTACCATTGTTGATGGAGGGAACCTTTTTGTGGTTTCTTTTAAGAGTTTGAAGTGAGCAACATCTGAATTAGTGGAGTTAGAACTGATGATGTTTTATTGTGTGGTGAAATGTTTCAAATTCCTGTCTTTGTTTACATTTTTTTAAAGTATTGATGCAGTCAAACACGTTTGTACAGCTGTGAAAAACAGTACAGAGTCTTTGTAGTTTATATAGGATGATTTGAGGTTTATGCTAGATAAGAGGGAAAAGAGTTTATTTGATGTCTTTGGGTGATGATAAAGTCCAAGGAACTATTTTGTAAATGGTTTATATTTATTTGCAAGACGGTCTAAACAATTTAAACAGTATTTCTTCAGAAACAAGAAATTAGAGAAAGATTTAAGTTACATAGACATTTCAAGCTAGATTGTAAACTGTGATTTTGTGAATGAATTTTAAGCCTGCATTTTGATTCCTTTTTAGTGAAAATTTTGTAGAGACAATGATATTTCAACCCTTCTTTAGAAAGGATAGAAATTAAGATTGAAGTCTTAAAAACATGGGCGTTCTTCTAGATTTGAAATATCAGAAAAGGAATGGTTGGAAATTGGATGAAGGCATCTTCTGATGAGGGCCTCTGGTATAGAATGTAAAAAAGAAGGGTTAGGTTTGGAACAGCAGATTGGAGTGTGTTGAAATTGAAAGTGAGTCAAGTGTAGTGGCAATTCAGTAGAAGTTCAAGGAGACATAATTGTAGTGGGAGATGAGAGGTGATTATATTTAATATGTTGTTGTTCCGTCGCTAAGTCATGTCTGACTCTTTGCGACCCCGTGTATATTTCTTTATTTGAGAAATTAGGTGTAATAAGAGTGGAAGTTAAAGTCACAACTACCGTTTATGTTACTGTTTTTAGGTTATAGAGTACTTCCATATATAACCATCTTGGGAGATGAATTAGTCTTTTCACTTTTTAGAATCAGCAGAGGCTAATAAAAAATGAGTTCAGGTTAAAGGACTTGGAAGAAGTTATAAAAACTGGTAAGAGATCAAAATGGGGATGTAAATGAGAGTGTTTCTTACCTAATCCTTCACTTTAATATCTATCACATGGGTTGCTCTATACCTGACTCTTGGCTTTGAATAGCTTGGTTAAAGCAGCAGAAGTATCTCTTTAGGTCAGCACTTTTTTGAATGAAGTAGGAATGGTTGTTTGGGATTGGATATGAAGCCACATATTCTCTAGTGGGGAATGGTTTCATGTAGGATTTAGCTTTTCAAATGAGCTTTGAAAAAAGGAACAAATATTTGGAGGATCAGAGTTGAACTGATTTGGGGCACTAAGTTAAAATATAACATTGTTTAGTATTGATATGTGGTAATGAGTTATAGTGGGTTAGATAAATTTCGAATTCTTTTGTGATAGTATTCAAAAGAATACTATCCTTTAGTCCTTACCTACCTCCTTATCTTCATATCCTTGTGCACTTGAAACCTGCCCTCCACTGCAGGAGACATAATATGTGTCCTTTCATTTTTCTCAGGATTTTCCTTATTTAGAGGTTCTCTTAATTGCCTCCACTTTTGATGTTTTGGTTTCTCATCTTAACCCTCAGGACAGCATTATCTTTTTGTTTACTGATAACTGACCTAAGCCAACTTGGTTACAAGTGGCAGAAGCTTAGTGTTTACCACAACTTCATGAACAGATTTTGATGAAACCAGTCTTACATTAAATTTGAATACCAGTACAGATTTTAAATATTTACAAATGAACCTTTGAAAACAGTTCACACAACTTCTGTAGGTATGACAAGGTGCCAGCTCTTTGTCCTTTTACTTAAACTGACAGCTTTTTGATGAAAGGTTCATTTGAGGCAGAATTCAACAATATTCTAGAGGTAGAATTTTGTTGCTGTTGTAGTTGGCAATCAGCCAGACTGAATCCTTAGATTCCATGGTTGGTCTCAGGACCATTTAGGGATCAAGTTTTGGGTATCATTCTTAGGGGTGTAGGCTAAAGATTTTGCTAGATTCCTATACTGTGTTCTTGCAAGGAGGAGGCATAAATCAAAAATACTTCAGCAAATCCACATTTCTTATATGCTACAGATTTCACCAGTGAGAGTATTATCAGAAGCAGTAATTTCATCATATTAGCAAAATGTCTGGAGTTCATCAGGAATAAAAGATAGTTGAAGCGCTTGTCAGAAAGAGAAAGTCCTACTCTGCTGGCTTTGATGATGAAGGGACCATGAGTCAAGATGGATATGTAGGTTGCTTTTAGAGGAATGCTAGTCTGACCACTGGGGCCCCACTCTAGTATCCTTGCCTGGAAAATCCCGTGGACAGAGGAGCCTGGTAGGCTACAGTCCATGGGGTCTCGAAGAGTCGGACATGACTGAGTGACATCAGTTTCACTTTTCGCTTTCATGCCTGGAGAAGGAAGTGGCAACCCACTCCAGTGTTCTTGCCTGGAGAATCCCAGGGATGGGGGAGCCTGTTGGGCTGCCGTCTATGGGGTCGCACAGTCGGACACGACTGATGCGATTTAGCAGCAGCAGAGCAGTCTGACCACAACTTGATTTTAACCTAATGAAACTGATTTCAGACTCTGACCTTCAGAACAGTAGGATAATAAACCTGTGTTGTTTTAGCCACCAAGTTTGTGATATTTGTTACAGCAGCCATAGAACACAACAGTTCGAAGAGAGGAAGAGATTTTTTTTTCCTTCCTTCTGTTGGAAGAGCTCTCAGTTTAAATTCCAGAGGAAAGGTTGACTTTTTCTGATGTAGGGTAATTTTCTTCTTTCAAGAACTGTTTGGAGAGTGAAGTGTCCCAGTAGTCTTCGGCCAGAGGGTATGCAAGGCCACTCAGTACATAGGAGGTAAAGAATTCATGCAATATCAGTTTTACTCAGAGGTTTTGTTTTTTTTTAATCACTTCTATTTTTAAACATATATGATATGTTATAGAAAATATATGGTTCTTAGAAAGTAAAAAAAATTAAGCAGGAAAATTACAATGACTATTTATAGTAGACCATTTTGGGGAGTAGGACTCTCAAAATGATGTTTAAAGAATACAATTCACTTGTTGTTACTCAAGTGAAAGATTTTAAGTACAGAGTAAATTTTTAATCTATGGTTGTGTTACAAAGTTCCCTGAAGCTGACTTGTTAAAGCAATCAACATTTATTGTCTCACAGTTTCTGAAGGACAGGAATCTGGATGCTTCTGGTTCAAGGTCTCTAATGATGCTATGTTCACCATGTTGCCTTGGGCTGTGTTTTGGTCTGAAGGCTTGTCTTGGGGAAGACCTGCATGGAATATCTCTCAGAATTGTTGACAAGACATTTCTTGTGAGCTACTGGATTGAAGGCCTCAGTTCCTTGCTATCTATAGGCTATCTCCTCAGTTGAGGAGATTATCCAAGGGTGTGGACACCAAGGGGCGGGGATGTTGTGAGCTATTAGTTTTGGCTCTTCCACCATCGTTTGTGTGATTTTGGTCGTCTGAGTTCTGAAATTATTTTCATTTCTGAATTTGTTTAATACTACATTGGCAAGGTTGTTGTGAGGATTAAATGGAATCATAGAGGTATGTGTATAAAATGCTTGGCACATATTAGGTCCTCAAAAAGATAGCTGTTTTGCAGAATACGAGTCAAATGGTCAGTGGGACCACATCTGAAATTTTTATTGTATACTTGATTTCTCAAAGGTCTAAATTTTCTGAGAATCCATTTTAGTACCTGTCATAACTTGGGAGGGTTCTAATAGAATCTAAGAATTTTGAAAATACTGATAGTCTTAAATAATTTACTTTTGTTCAGATGGTTGGTATGACATTAGATATATCTAGATTGATAAAGTATTTTTGAGATAATTCAGGGAATTTTGAAACAATGCATGAGCAGTCTGGGAGGAAAAAGTCTCTCCAAGCTAAAATTATTTGCTGTAGTTATGATTTATACAACTAAGATACTCTTGAGATTTGCTCGTGTTTGATGTTGACATGGTTTTATGATATAAATTGAGACTGCCCCTTCCCTCCTCACTTTTTTTTCTTTTTTGAAGAGGTTAAGCATTTCTTGGGTACAGAAGATCCTGTACTCTTGTAGTATGGTATTATTAAATCTAGACAATCACCTGCTAGTAAAGTAGTAGAACAGAGGGGGAAAAAAGAAACATATATGTTATCTAGCAAAGATAGTATCAGGTTTCTGGTACTTTTAAACATAACTAGGTATCATCTAGTTGATTATGATCAAAATTTTTTTAGACAATTGAGCTTTGGTTTGGAATGCTAATATTGTGGCATTTTTTTAATCACTTATAAACAAATACAATGCCAATGTGTTAGATAGTATATTTTGGCAAAATCATGGCCACTTAAAAGAGAAATCCAGCTTTATCCTCAAACAATTAATTTAAACCATTTACTTTTTTTAAGATTTATTTTTTAATTGAAGGATAATTGCTTTACAGAATTGTGTTGGTTTCTGCCAACTTCAACATGATAAACATTTACTTTTTTTTGTTTAAAGTAATTTGAATCAGAATTCTATAAGTGGAAGTATACAGTACATTTTTTTACATTTATGTATGGTTTTATTTTTATATAAAATATATGCAGTTTTATTATCTGAGGAAAGGAGAGATGTTTGTTATTTTAATAGTTGAAATTCTTTGTTACTTTTATTAGGAAGTATTCTTGAATCATCCCAAGACAATATTATTCTTCCCACCACCTTCTACTCCCTTCCCCTTCTCAAAAAGAGATTATAGAATTATATATGCTCAGTTGCTTCAGTCCACTCCATGAACTGTAACCTGCCAGGCTCTTCTGTCCACGGAATTCTCCAGGCATGAATACTGGAGTGGGTTGCCCTGCCCTCCTCCAGAGGATCTTCCCGACTCAGGGATGGAACCCACATCTCTTAAGTCTCCTGCATTGGCAGGCAGCCTCTTTACCACTAGTGCCACTGGAAGCCCAGTAAAATGATAATCCAACTGCCTAATGATTGAAGGAGGGGAGATAAAGTGAAAGTCGCCTCAGTTGTGTCTGATTCTTTGCGACTCCATGGTCTATACAGTCCATGGAATCCAGGCCAGAATACTGGAGTGGGTAGCCTATCCCTTCTCCAGGTGATCTTCACGACCCAGGAATCGAACCAGGGTCTCCTGCATTGCAGGTGGATTTTTTGTTATTGTTGGCTCCAAACTGTTCCTACTGTGTTTTCCTTTTTCTCAGCACATGTCCAATCTGTTTGATGAGTCGCTGCTTATGGGAATTCTCTTACGCTGAACACTTGTCAATCTCTCTGTGCTTAGAAGTTAAAGGTGGTAAATTGTGAGGACAGACCTTGATTACCACTGACTTGTTCTGAGGATGTGTTCTTTGTTTAGTATTTAGTAGTTAATTTCAGTTAGTAATTTAATCTCTTAAAAATTAGAAACATGATTATACTCTGGAGGATCATAGACTGTTTCACAGCCTTAAACCTCAAGTCCCCCTTTCAGGTCATGCATGTTTGTGCTTTATAGAAATAGTGTATCAAAGCTATCAAAACTAGTTTGAGTCAAATGTAGTTTTCCCCAGATGAATTGCTTCTTTAAGCTTGCTTGTCTTAGGTAACCTATTATGTTAAATTTAGGTAATTTTAGACAACCAAATACAAATTCACTAAAGCTAAAGCATGGAAAGTTGACATCATTTTGAAATTGAAGAGTGTTTTTAAAAGTTGCAATATAGAAGCCACTTTATGGCTATTATTATGTAGATTTAATTATGAAGTGATATTTGAAATCTGAAAGCTTTTTAAGGTTCAACTCATGTGCTGTTCTGCTTGCAATATATTTACAAATACGTACCAGATATTAATTTAATAATCTTTCCTATGTGGCTTATTTCTGATGGTTATAGATTTTATAAATGGCACCTTTATGATTTCTTTTATTAACAGAATTCTGCTTGGTCAGAGTCGTGATGGCATTGTGTTCAGCACTGATGACTATTTTCACCATCAAGATGGGTACAGGTATAATGTTAATCAACTTGGTGATGCCCATGACTGGAACCAGAACAGAGGTTTGTTTTGGGCCAAGTCTTCTGGGATAGAATATTTGACTAGGAGTCACAAACCTGAATTTTTATTCTTGACTTTTTTTTCTTTTTCTTTTTTTAACTTTTTACCAGCTGGATGCCTTTGACAAGCCATCGAAAGAGCTTTGAGACCCAGTTTTTCATCTCTTAGAAGCAGTGATAATTATACTTAACTCTACCTGATTGAGGTTGTGAAAATCAGAGAATGTATTTAGAATATTTTTTAAACTGTAGATAGTGTACATAAACCAGTACAATAGAGGTATAGGATGTTTTGATATACTGCTTTATACCTCATGAACAAATTCAGAATACCTCTGATATTACCTCATGAACAAATTCAGAAAACTGGTATTTTTGTTATATGTTACCAAAAGTTATTTCCTCGAGTAATGCTAATATTTTCTAAGGCTTAATGTCCATGAATATTAAATGTTTTTTCTACTGATACAAAAAAATTACTTAATACACTTTTTAGAGGCACATGGGTCAATTTGTTTTAATTTTGGAATAGTAGTTATTAACCTTGGCTGCACTTTGAATCACTTGGGGATTTTTTTTTTTTAAACTCATGCCCAAGTGCTAGCCTCGGATATTCTGGTTTAGTTAGTCTGATGTGCTTGCATGCTCATTCACTTCAGTTATGTCCAATTCTTTACAACCCTGTGGACTGCCAGGCTCCTCTGTCCGTGGGATTCTCCAGGCAAGAATACTGGAGCAGGTTGCCGCGTCCTTCTTCAAAGGATCTTCCTAACTCAGGGATCAAACCTGAGTCTTCCCAGGCTCCTGCATTGCAGGTGGATTCTTTACCACTGAGCCATTGGGGAAGCCCCTAGTTGGTCTGGAGTGGATCTAAACATTGGTGGTTTTTTTTTTTGAAAGTTTCCTAGATATTCTGTTATAGTCAGAATTGAAAACTATTAATCTAGAACTGGGTGGGTACATGCTTATATTATACTATAATTTCTTTTTTAAAAGATTAAGAATGCTTTGAAGATGAAACATTTAAACCTGGAGTAGAGCGATTACAGTGAACAGCCTATTTGCTTCCTTGTGGTAGTCATTTAACTTGTAGGATTTATTTGGTTCAGCCTTTTTTTCTTTGTAAGTAAACGGTTGTCCCATTTTTAGTGATGTAGCTTCAGAGGGACAGTCTGCTCCCTGTTTTATTCAAGAATGAAATGTTTTCTTAATCAGTTATTTCATTAAAGTTGCAAAATGATTTTCTCGGTCTGTCATTCCTTCTGTGTTCAGTGGCTAGAATTCTTCTGTAATGAGGAATGTCCTTTTACCTAGACTAGCAACTATTGTTACCCTGAAGTACAGTATGTACAGGAAAAACAGCATAAATGCTTTTCTTTCTAATTCTCAATTTCAAAGTAAGGAATTTCAGTGAGGATATTTTTGAAGAAAAAGTTTAAATGTCAGATAAGTTTGATTTTTAAGACTATTGTCTAGTATTGATTCTAGGATTTCTCCAAATATTTATTTTAGAAAAAAATATTTTAAAAATTAATTCTTTTTTATTTTTTAAAATGCTGCAGTGTTACTGCCCAAGTCAAATGAGGATGATACTGGCAGTTCCCAAAAATGCTTAGAGTTATTGGCCCAGAGTTAAGAGGAATAGAAGTAGGTGATAAGGGGAATGAGGCAGTGTATCTTTGGTGAACTGGAAAGTTTGTTTGTGTGGGACATTTTTTTTTCTTTGTGCAATACTAGACTATTTTATTAAAATGTTTGTGCCGTGTGAATTATACTTGCTGAACATATTGGTGTCTAGATAAACCATTGGTTTTATTAGTATAGTAAGTGTGGACTTTTCCAAGGTAATTTTTAACCCCTTTTAAGGTAATGATAACTAGCAATCACTAGACATTTTGAAAGTGGTGAGCATTACGTTTAATTTACAAACATTTATTGAATACTTTTAAGTGTCAGTCATTATTCTGGGAATATCAGTCTCCCTCATGTTTATTAGAAGAATCAGAATTCATCTTTAACTGCTTATAAATTTAAAATATCTCCAAGATGTCGTTATTGTCGTTCTTAGAGTATGGTGGTTAATTTGTTTGAGAAAATGACTCTCTTTATTTGAGTATTCAGACATTGTTTACTTAGGGCCTTTATTTTCCTGGAGTGCACTGGAATGTGGTATTGGATGATAATTATTCATGGAAAGAGAATAATATCCCCATTCCTGCAAATCAGAGATTTATTTGGTTAATAAGCTCCTTTTGTAGACTTGACTCCTTAGAGGAGTAAGCCTGTCTATCAGACATTAGGAGAATTACTTTAATTTTTTTTTTTAAAATGAAAGTTTGATCACTGTTTGGGGTGAAGCAGTGGGAATTGATAGCATCTTGGTATCCTGTTTGTGACCCAGGTTGTAACTTTCTTTTAATATTTAGAGATGTTTTCTCCCAAATATATATTTACATTCCACATTAGTCATTATTACTTAACCTTTAAAATTCTATCTTCCCTTAGACATCTGGATCAATGTTTTCATTATGTGAAACTTAGTGATTTGAATTCTAAATCCCAGCAGAACTTACATATCATTGTATTTTGCCATTGTATTGATATGCAAATACATATAAATGCATTTGCATTTTAAATTTTATAGTGGGGAGAAGGAAATGGCAACCCACTCCAGTATTCTTGCCTGGGAAATCCCATGGACAGAGGAGCCTGGCAGGTTATATAGTCCATGGGGTCTCAAAAGAGTTAGGACACGACTTAGCCACTAAGCAACAACAACCATCCATCCATAGCCCTACCTGTTAGAGGTAATTTGTGTTACTCTTTTGGAGTGATGCTAAATAACCTGTTTGTTAACATGTAAATTCAAAGCACTAATTGATTTGCTCTTGTAGCATCTGAAGTTTCCAGTCTGAGGAATTCTCAGGTTTCTCTAGGAAGAGGCATGATACATGAATCTGGAATGACAACAGCCAAGTCAAGAGGTCCCCCGAGGGCCAAAGTCAGAGAGGTCAGAACCATGAGAGGGTGATCCTTGAGCAGATGCCCAGGATGGAGACAGAGCCAAAGGGTAGACACCACCCCTCCTCCGGCTGTGGCCACTGCAGGAAGGTTCCTGAGAGTCACAGGATCCTCCCCATCCAAGTGACTGCTCTTCTGCTGCTTTCTGTGAGAACAGTCTTAAATGGAGTCTCTGTTTCATAAATGATGGGACTCTGTAAAATAAAATAAATTTTATAGTGGGCTCTTAGTTGTCTTGCCTGTCATTAACAGGAATCACTGTGGAATAATTCTCACCTCATACGGGAATCGACGGCATAGGGATAGGGAGATATGGTTTGAAAAGTTCTGTTGTAGCTCAGCTCCCAATTTCAGAAATCATTGTCCTAAGAAATATCCACAAAGTCAGTTGAACCATGGAATTTAGCTGCTTAGGATATAAGTAGTAAGAAATCCAAAACACTTTTTTTTTTTACCTCAGTCTCTTATTTCAGAGGAATTATTGGTAATTTTACCTATAGAAGACAACTTTTGGTGTCTTAGTAACTTTCCACATTCTTTACATTTTGCCCAAAATGAAATCAGTTACATACTATCTTGTAAATTGCCATTTTCTGTTAAAAGTCTCCATCTTTTCATGTCATTAAATGTTTGTCTCTTTTCATACTCGGACCATATTCAGATGTAACTTGTCCCTACATTTTCTGTAGGCTGAAGTCTTCATTAGCTGTAAGTTCAACAGAATAATTCCCCCAAAATGTCCTTTACAGCTAGTTTTTCAAAACCAGCATTTGGTCTGAAGAAAACCCATTACATGTGTTAATGTCTCTTAATTCCACTTAATCTAGCAGAGTCCTTTGATTTCCATGCACTGACTCTAGAGATTGCACAGTTTTGGTTTTAAGTACAGGGATGTAGAAAATTTCTTAATGAATGTTTAAATTTTATTTTACATATTTTTATCTAATAGTTCTGTTTTTTGTTTTTTTAATTATTTTTTATTTCAGCAAAGCAAGCTATCAATCAGGGGAGATCGCCAGTCATAATAGACAACACTAATACACAAGCTTGGGAAATGAAACCGTATGTGGAAATGGTAAATATGAGATATGAGAGAGTTTTTCTATTCTTTTCAGTTTTTTTCATATTCTAAAATTTCAGTTAACTTTGATGTTTACTATTAAAACATTTATCCTTGTTCTCTAAAGAGGTATGTCCATTTACTTAATTTTTTAAAAATTGAGAATGGTGCTTACTAAGCAATATGTTCATCTTGTTAGTTTTGCCTGGACTTGAGAATCCTGATTGGAATTTGACTATTAAGTGGCCTTAAAATTTTTATAAACCATATTATTTTAAAGGTAAATCTTTATTGGTTGAACAAATTTAGAAGTATTGTCGAAGTGAAATTTTTATCTGTCTTCCATCTTTTTACTTTAAGAAGTATTCTCTGGGTTTTTGTTTGCTTCCTTTCTTTTGTGTAGGCCATAGGAAAAGGATACAGAGTAGAGTTTCATGAACCTGAAACTTGGTGGAAATTTGATCCTGAAGAATTAGAAAAGTAAGGCACTCAAAAATTTTTTAATCTTTTTTATCTTTCTTTTCTCTTATTCATGATCAATTTCTTTACTAGCTTTTGTTTGTTAAATCTTTGATACCTGTGAATAGGGACTATTACTACTACTACTCACTTTCTATTAAGAGGAGCATTGTCTTAAACGCAGCGTGTTTGAGGCTCTTTGCAGTATTAAATTTCCTTAAATGTTCTTTGTTAAGTGTGTTTGTTACTTTTTCTTCCGTGACTTCCTGTGTTGGTTCCCAGTTTATTGAATGCTAGTAGAGATCCAGAAAAGTGAGAGAAAAACTAGGACTTTCCCTTCTGCTTTTTAGCTAGGCCACTTCTCTGCGTTGCCTTTCCAACTTCATCTCTTTCCCGTTTTAGATCCCATCGCCTTTTTACCTGATGCTTTTCTCTCTCCCTCTTTTCCATCTTTACTGCAACATATCCATTATCCCATAGCCAAGATCCAGGGAATCGATGTGTTTAAGAATTCAGATTTTGTGTTCACTTCAGCAGCACACGTACTAAAATTGGAACGATACAGAGAAGATTAGCATGGCCCCTGTGCAAGGATGACACGCAAATTTGTGAAGTGTTCCATATTTTTCATGTCAGTGTGTGGCAGGGGCCACTGCAATGTTGTGGAGTGGTTGGCCTCCAACTAATAAGGGGAGTTGGGAAGAAAAAAAAAAAGAATTCAGATTTTTTTTTTTTTAGAAAGGCAATACAGAGCCTGTACCTAATTGTTAGCACTCCTAGTAGAGTTTGGGGCAGCATGGCATAATCAAACATCTCAGTGTTTCTGCAGCAGATTGTGAATGATCAGTCTGTGCAGATGAGAAAAATTTACATGGTTTAATGTTAGTTCTGAGTTGATCATGCGGCCATATGAGTATAGGCATGGTTAGACTTTGCTTCTATATGAGTCAAAAGAAAACTGAATTTTCAGAGTATTTTAAATTTCAGGGTTTGTGAGGGATTGTGGTCTTGTATTAGTTTCAACCCTGATCTTCCATTTGTGTTTACCTTTATCCATTTACCCTGGTTTTCCTGACTGTAAATCATTTTCCTTTCTTCATTTTCACTCTGTCCACCCCATCTTTGATGAGAACTTTTAACTCACATACCTTACAATTTACCCATTAAAAGTATACAATTCAGTGGTTTTCAGTATATTCACAGAGTTGTGCAACCATCACCTCTCTTTTTAAGACCATTTTTTTCTCCCACGTGTTTCCCTCTTCCTGCTTAAAACTGTTATTCTGTGTATGGTGTTCAACTACTTTCTTTCCTCCTTGCCTTTCATTCTTTTTGTATCTTTGAATTTTTATTCCTTTGGTTATCTTTCTTTCCCTTTCTAATTTGCATGCCAATCAAATTTATGAAGAGTTAAACTGATAGATATTATTAATATCTGGTATTCATTGCCTGCCCTCTGTGTGATTATTGCTCCTCAGGTAGAAAGAAGAGAGAGTTTAAAAACTAAAGATACTTGGCTTATGTTGAATAAGTGAGTTAATGAAATTGTTGTACGGTTAGGCTTTATTTGCATTTGAGACTGTTGAAACTTATTATAATCCTTAATATAAAATAAATTTACAAAATAAAGTCAATTTAACTGCTATCTAGTTTAGTTTGACAGATTTTTATGTCTTTTTTTCTAGGAAGATGAGTTAGCTTTAGTAAGTCTAGAACTTAATAAATGTAAAATATGTTCTGTGTGTTTTGCCATGGCCAACTCAAATTACAGAAAACTGCAAGGGTTAAATTCTTTTTGAGAGACAAGAATAATTCATAAACCACTTTTTGTTGTCAAAATTAAAATCACAGAAAATTACATAAAATATAAATATGTAGCTAAACAAATTTCTTATAAGTCAGATATTCATTTAACTATTTCTCGTATCATGAGAGCTTTACTAACACTTTTAGAAGTTTTTTGAATTCCTTTTCCCGGTAACAGTTCCCTACAATTACTTGCTTGCTATTCCTTAAAGCTTTTTTTTTTTTTTTGCTTTTTAAAAAAATCCTTCACTTTAGCACCATAGTTTAACTTTTTCAAAGTTTATATATTAATAAATAGAATTATGCAGTATATAGTCATTGTCTCTCAATGTGAGATATGTAAAAATGTATTTCTAATAATAGGTTGGTGGTGTTAATAAATTTTTTAAATGCAGGTGTATTAAAAATAGCTTTTGCAAGTTATACATATTTTATATAGAGTTTTCTTAAGTCCTAGAAACCCACTCAGTTCTTCTGTAATTCTCAAAACAGTGTTGCATAATCTTTTTACTTTGTTTAAAAGTTAGGGATCATTAACTCAGTGGTTCAGTGAATCAGTAGTTAGTTCTGTGTGAAGACAATAGTATAATCAGTTAACATTTTGCTCTAATTTATGGTATTTTAAGCCTTTTTAATATATTGTTTAAAACTGAGAGAGCCCTTTTTTTAAAATAACACATGAGGTGTATCTTCTGGTATTTATTTGCCAAATGTAATTTAGACTCTATTCTGCTCTGTTACTCTAAAATAGGTTAATCCTATACATTGTTAAAAGATAGAATTAAAATCCTTTTCTTTTTTGGTAGGAGGAATAAACATGGTGTGTCTCGAAAGAAGATTGCTCAGATGTTGGATCGTTATGAATATCAAATGTCCATCTCTATTGTAATGAATTCAGTGGAACCGACACACAAAAGCACACAAAGACCTCCTCCTTCACAGGAGAGACAGAGGTGGGGAGGCTTTCTAGGCTCACATAATGAAGTCTGTGTTACAAATAATCACTAAGTTGGCTATTTTCAGCTAACTCATTTGTTGTTTGCCCTTAAAAAAATTTAGTGAGCCTGCCTTGAAACTTAAGTAGTTTCAGATTTTAAAAAAAGACCACATTGCCTCACAAAAGATGTTCCCAGCAAGTTGTTTAAATTCTGAAGTGTAAATAAAAAATATATAAAATTGTATTTTAAATGTTTTTATAATCTTTTGTTGTAATACTTTTGGTTATTATGAAGACCCCTGAGTAGAGTGGGTAGGAACCAGAATGTTTTTCTATAATTGAATTTTAAACTGATTTTATCTTTATAGATGTCATTCAGTTTTACAGTTCATACCTAAATTCAACTTTTCATAAAACTTTAGTATTTTTCTTTGACTATCTTAAATATATAAGAAATACTAACTTGTTATAGGCACTTTAGTTGACTCCTCTGTTCATAATACCAGTAAAATTATGTTTTTCTGCAAATTCATCTTTCTAGGCTGTAATTAGCATATCACTAAAACAAAATTCTCTGTCAAATGCCAATACAGTAGGTACAGTCACCAAGGGTTTTTTCTCCGTAATTTACATTTTCATCACCCTTCTTCTTAAGCCATTCTCTGTCTCCCCATACTCCCCAATTCTGGAATGAAAAACAGGGCAATTACTCTATAGTTTACAAAAACGCTTCATGTTATTCTGATAATATATAACTTTTCTCTGTTTAAATTAACACAGTATAATTCTAGTGTAAAAATATTTTAGACAGCTCCTTAGCATTAATTGTAGGAAGATTTGTCCTCTGGAATGTTTTACTTCTCCGGGTTTTAGCTTTTCTTTAAGGACAACTGTGTATCTCACTTTATCGTTTTTGTTAGATTGTGTTCCATCACTTAAAATTTTAAAACCGAGATGGAATTCATTTCAGAGATCTTGGGCAATTCATCCTAATTTTGCTTTGATTTATCCATTTTTAGGGAAAAAAAGTGCTAATTACAACTGTTGAAAATTTTTTATGTGTTTTACATGGTAATAGTTCATGTCCTTTAAGTCTTCTTTCTCCTAAACCAACCTATCCTAAATCCTATAGTATTTTTTTCTTTAATTTTATTTTATATGGAGTGTAGTTGATTAACAGTGTTGTGGTGGTTACAGGTGTAGAGCAAAATGGTGAATCCCATAACCTTCAGATGTTGTTTTAAAACTTTTTAGTGTTTTTTTCCGGCTTTAAATGTTCTCTCACATCTTTATATTATTTTTTATCTAATATTATTAAGTAATACTAATTGCAAGGCTCAAAACTAAACATAGTACTTTTAACAAGGTCTTTAATGAGATAATATGATTTTCATTTGTAGTCTCTAGTACTGTTTACATTTAAATGAGTATTACTGTATCTTATTTCGTTTTAACACATGTATGTTTGTATATATTTGTTCATCCTATGATATAGTAGAAATATACTAACTCATGTTTTATGTATAAATGTGTATACAATTATAAATGTTCATGTTTCCTTTATTCACTATTTTCATAATTCTTTTGTTTCAGAGTAGTACTTCCTGCTATTTGGGCTTGCTTTTCCCAGCATTTTATTATGTAAATTGACATTTTGAAATAGAAAAGAAGGATTTAGTTTTGGGACAGGTGAAACAACTGTTAGTTATATATTGTATGTCCCTTTCCCTTTGTCCTTGTAAAACTTTATTTAGAAGTAATAGTACCATTAGGTTTTGAACAGCAGCCAGATTTATTTCAAGGATCTAGAGAATTGCCTTTGGAAGATACAAATGATGAAGCAACTTGTTCATAATAGTAAGTCTATAAAATAAATTTCTAGTTTTTATTACAGATTAAAAGTCATCTCCTAATATTTCTAAGTACGTGTTTGATGGGGAACGGGGGATGGCTCTGGAGTCAATGCAGGGGAATCGGGCCTCATCTCGAGTTGATTTGGGGTACATGGAGCTCCTTCGCGTTGCTGGCGTGACCTCAGGACCCTCTAGACTTGTGACAGTGTTCTTGGGGACTCTCTCGAGATCCATCAAGCAAGTCTAGGCTCCTTACATGCTTGATGGGGATCACGGAATTGCTCTGCATGCAATGCAGGGGTATCGGGCCTCATCTCGCTTCAAGGGGGAAGTCTCATGGTTTTTCTCGAATTGCGGCGGGGACCTCGGGTATATTCTCGAGTTACGGCCAGGATGGCCTTTCAAAACTCTTGTTTGTTCAGCGACGTCAGGACTCCTGTCTAGTTACGAGGGACACCTCAGGAATCTCTTCGAGGCTTGGCAGGGCTAAAGAGATCATTAGTCATTACCAAATATTTTTAAAAATTATAAATGTTTACCGAGGCGAGGAGGTAACATTCTAGAAGACGTTTTTGTTGGGGCTTTTTGTATTTTTTTTGTTTGTGTTTTGGCCACACCACTTGGTATGTAGGATCTCAGTTCCTTGACTAGGGATGGAACCTGCACCCCCTGCATTGGAAACATGGAGTCTGAACCACTGGACCACCTGGGAAGTCCCTAATTTTTTTTTAAAGACAGAGTAAATTAAAAGTTCCCCCAAGCATTCTGACTAATGTTATTTTTTACTTTTGAACAATAACAGAACAGAGAAATGAATATGCAATAAAAGATGAAATTCACCAATTAAAGGTTTTTTCATCCAAGTTTTTCCTTCTCTTCAGACATTCTTTTTTAAAATTTAGATATATTGCTAATGGACTAGCTCCCTCTGCTGCTTCCTGCCTTTCTGAGTTGGTCTCCATCACAAAGGAGAAAAATGGGCATCACTCATCATATTTAACTAAGGTGAACATTTTAAACAGAATGTAGATTCTAGTCTGGTTCAGAAAGATTCTTTTTTCATAGACTTGTTGTAAAAATCACTTCTCCAGTTTTCTATATGTCAATACTACCAATAAAAATATTTGTGTGGTAATCAAGTTGAACTTTTGATGCTTTAAATTGATCTTTCATTATTCACTTTCCTAAAAGAAAATACTAGCTTTTTAATATGTGTTTTAAAGTAAGATTGTTTATAGAAGATAGGGTTGTGTTTTGTTGATGGTATGATAGGGTGGATTTAACTATTTGAAGCTTGCTTATCTCTTACCTAATTAACATAGGTTATGAAATTTTCCAGTTATATATAGGTAAGTTTCAAAAGAATTTATATCAAGGGATATAAAATATTTGTTTTGACCATAATTGAGTTATTGTTATCGTGGAAATGTCTGATTTTCTGAGCCTGGTTTTCTAAGTATTTTCGAAGAAAATTGGTGATGTTCTCTTTGGAAAATGTTGAAGAAATGTGGTTGTTCATGTATTAGTACCTTGATGAGATAGGTGTCCTAGGGTTCGTTGAAGTATCATGTAGTAGTGTAACAAATGCAGTAACTGAGGATTCAGTTATTGGGGCTGGAGTGTATGTTTGTCTATGTTTGCCTGCAACCCTTTATAAATAGAGTAATGCTTCTTAGTCTAGAATCATAACAAAGTACACTATTACTTAGTTTTGTTAAAATGACCATTCAAAATAAACATGTGATGGCAACAGAACAGCAGATCATTAGTGGGTTTTAGAGTTAAATTTTGTACATTACAATTTATAAATAAAATTTTTTCTCATTAAAATTATTAGCTGTAATTTTTGTGAAAGGAAAGATTATATTAAGGGATTATTGGATATCTTCTTTGGTGATGGTTTTCTTCTCTTTGCAGTTAAGTAAGATTTGCATATTTTATTTTATTTTAAAAATTAAGGTATTATTAAAGCAATTGGTTTCTCTATATGTATGCCAGATTTTTTTCCTTAAAATATCCTAAGGATGATCAGTTCAGCTCAGTTCAGTCACTCAGTTGTGTCTGACTCTTTGCAACCCCATGAACCACAGCACGCCAGGCCTCCTTGTCCGTCACCAATTCCCGGAGTCCACCCAAACCCATGTCCATTGAGTAGGTGATGCCATCCAACCATCTCCTCCTCTGTTGTCCCCTTCTCCTCCTGCCCTCAGTCTTTTCCAGCATCAGGGTCTTTTCCAGTGAATCAGCTCTTCGCATCAGGTGGACAAAGGATTTGAGTTTCAGCTTCAACATCAGTCCTTCCAGTGACCCAGGACTGATCTCCTTTAGGATGGCCTGGTTGGATCTCCTTGCAGTCCAAGGGACTCTGAAGAGTCTTCTCCAACACCACAGTTCAAAAACATCAATTCTTCAGCGCTCAGCTTTCTTTATAATCCAACTCTCACATCCATACATGACCACTGGAAAAAACATAGCCTTGATTAGACGGACCTTTGTTGGCAAAGTAATGTCTCTGCTTTCTAATATGCTGTCTAGGTTGGTCATAACTTTCCTTCCAAGGAGTAAGCGTCTTTAATTTCATGGCTGCAATCACCATCTGCAGTGATTTGGGAGCACAGAAAAATAAAGTCAGCCACTGTTTCCCCATCTATTTGCCATGAAGTGATGGGACCAGATGCCATGATCTTAGTTTTCTGAATGTTGAGCTTTAAGCCAACTTTTTCACTCTTTCACTTTCATCAAGAGGCTCTTTAGTTCTTCTTCACTTCTTCCTTAAGGGTGGTGTTATGTGGATATCTGAGGTGATATTTCTCCCAGCAGTCTTGATTCCAGCTTGTGCTTCCTCCAGCCCAGCGTTTCTCATGATGTACTCTGCATATAAGTTAAATAAGCAGGGTGACAATATATAGCCTTGATGTACTCCTTTTCCTATTTGGAACCAGTCTGTTGTTTCACGTCCAGTTCTAACTGTTGCTTCCTGACCTGCATACAGGTTTCTCAAGAGGCAGGTCAGGTGGTCTGGTATTCCCATCTCTTTCAGAATTTTTCACAGTTTATTGTGATCCACACAGTCAAAGGCTTTGGCATAGTCAATAAAGCAGAAATAGATGTTTTTCTGGAACTCTTGCTTTTTCAATGATCCAATGGATTTTGGCAATTTGAT